AACATTACATTTTCTAGGTTCAGATATGTCATTCCAATGTCAGAAGTCCAGCAAGTGGACATATGAGATGGAGTCTTCTTGATAAAATACTCAACAACAACAAAGAGAAAACCAGCAAAACAGCGCCTTTGTTGCTTAATATTTGCAATTTAATTTTGTAAACTTCCTTGTTATTTCTCTAAGAATGAATTATAAATTTAACTAATAATAATAATAATAATAATTTATATACAGGTTTTGGGGTCTACTTAATTTGAATGTCTATGTGTTTTTGGTTGGTTAGTTGAGTTTTGTGATTTTTAGCTTGATCTAGATTTATAACATATTTTATTGTTACTTTGCTTGTTGTTAGCCAACTTCTGGAGTCTATGTGACTCAGAAAGAAAACAGAAGTCTTCTCAATAACAAGGGGCAGAAACATGATCAACTGAGCCCTCCTCCACTTCAAAATTAGCAGTGGAACACAAATTACATCCAATTTAAAGTTGTGGGATTACAAAACATACAGAGTTCTGTCTGCACCCGAAGAAATCTTTTCAATGGGTTTCTTTTGCTAGGAACACCAATCTCTCAGGGGAAATTTGGACATTAGACATGAGAAACTCAAACCAGATCCCAGAAAATTGGAAGAGACATTATCTTTCTCTTGCCTAATCATTTTCACTTAGGGCTTGGCAAAACCATCTGTCAGGTGCTGAATATTTAATAGAAGGGACCGCAGTGCTGTGCTTTAAGTGGCAATGACCTAGCATGTCCATATTTTAAAAAATGTTCTAGATTAGTCCTGTGCACATGCTCCAGTGAAGCTGAGGCTGTCCTTTAGAAAAGGCCCTTTGCCTTAGCAATGGCATGCCTGGACCTGTCTTTCAAAGAATAGGTGTCCCCTAAGTGATTAAAATAGCTTTGTCTAGTGTCTAGCAACACACAGCTCAGATGAATAATACAAAGCACAGTAGCCCAACATTACATTGTATACATCCCAGATGGATAGGTTGTTCCACAACACCCTCAGCATTTGGAATGGCTGTTCATGGTAGCCGGGTTTGCTGGAAGCTGGAGCTCACAATACCTGCAGGACCACAAGTTGTCTGCCCCTGGTATATTCAGAGATTCCCACTTCCACCACTCACTCCTTCTTGCACAATGCCTCTACGGGCTTCTCCAGGCCAGCTCTCTTTTATTTTATATGGGCTGTTAGGTGGGCAAATACAGTGGTGGCTTTGAAATAACTTTTCTGTGGTGATGTGTCAAGCGACCTCATTTATTCATTTGGATTTTTTTCATTAGACTTTCATGATACACTGTCACTGTAGGATGGCTTCTACGATTACAAAACATATTGAAGAATCGCTGGAGCCTGAGCTGAACGTTTCCAAGTTATTCAGAGGGCTGCCATGGGATGCTTCTTAATGTATGTGTTGCAATTTTCCCCAACCTAGCAATCTCCAGATGCATCCAGCCATGACACTGATCATCCCCAGCTACCAGCACAATGGTGACTAGGGACAGCAGGTGTTGTAACCCAATGCATCTGGAGAGGACCAAAAGAGGAAAGTGATAGATGTATTTTATGCTTCCATGTGCACGTTCTTTGACTGGATTTATTAGGTCACGCTTAAGATGTTATATTACTGATGATCCCTCAGGTAAGCAGTTAAGAGTGAGCACGTCAAATAAATCTTTCAAAGAGTTCTTTTCAAGCAAAATGGTGCAATCGTCCAGAAAGGAATGTGTTGCGACAGGAACAAGCATGTAATAATCCACAGGATATGCTAGAATTCTCTTGAAAGATTTTTCTCCTTAAACAGTGAGTTTAAAAAATGAGTATTTGGAGAAATTGTATGCAAAACCGATATATATTAGGGAAAGATGTATACAGGATGAGTACAAAATGCATATGTGGCATGCAAAAATAAATACAAATGATCTTGTGCGTAAAGGTTAGTGTAAATTTGCAGGATGATGCAAAACTTTGAGAGAAAGGAGTAACCCTGAATGATGTGATAGTGACAGCAACCAAATGTAGACCAGTCCATACTCCATATACTAGTTAGAAAGAAACCCTGATGTTGTGAAATCCATCTGCCACTATTTCATAGAACTCTGAAGAGTGAGTTGGACCTGGCCAAGCAAAAGGGCCGCATTTCTTTAAAGCAACCGCATCTTTTTCCAGACTTTTGTGCAAGTCTGAAAAAAAATGCCTCTACTTTAAACGTCACTTAACTTTAATGACTTAACTTAGTAAAGCAGCGGAAACTCTTTCAGGCTTGTGCAGGAGTGTTATGTCCATGAGAGGTCCGATGACATCTTCCAAATCCATTTTAAATGTGCACGGTCTTCCTATTTAAATACAACAGAAGCTACAACTCACCTGAGGATCCGCCAGTCTGGAAATGTCTGGGTTTAAGTAGAATATAATTCCATCTAAAGCCCCAGGGAGAGTGACTCCTCGAATCAGCAGCACGATCAACATTAGATAAGGGAAAGTGGCAGTGAAGTAGACTACCTGGGAATAACACAGAAGAAGCCTTAAAATCCATTAAAAGTACTGAATAGCCAAGACCCCTGGCCTTCAGAGCTATTAACTGACACTAAGAGGACCAGGGCTGACAACCCCTGGCCACAGGTCCACATGAAAACTTTGAATCAGCCCCAGTGGTTTGACCACAACTTCAGAAAAAACAGAACAAACAAACAAACCACCCTCCGGCCAACTTGAATGCAAGAACTGTAGGGAAAGCCCTAAAACAGGCATAGCATAAGTTAAAAAGAAAACTCTTACCCCCAAAATGGGGGGAAATCCTAGCCTCACGTAATGCATATGATTTGCCTTCAGCCACTTTGCATTATCACACTACCCCTAGCAGCTGTCTGATGTGGCTTGCTGTCATATTCTTTGGTTACTTGATAATCTATTGACCTGCACTCAGTAGCTAGTTAACAAAGGAACCTTCAAGGATTCAGTGGGGTTACATAAAATAGAAGGTCTTGTCTGGTCTGCTGTTCTTTTCTTCCCATTTTGCCAGCTTCAGCTCTCACACCATCTCCTTCCTATTTTCTCCTTCCCCTCCTCCCTTGGACATGGAGGTGCCAGGATCATGCCTCTTCTCACCATCTAGTTGAGCAAAACAGGAAGGCATTTCACCCCTCTCTCCTTGTCCATCTGTCTTTGGCAAGGTTGCCCCCTTTTGAATGTCTCTACCCTTCCTTCCTCCTGCCTGAGGAGGGGGGGGGGGGCTTTCCTTTTCTTCATTGGCTCAAGTTAGA